CCACTCCATAAGGCAATACTTAAATTTCTTTTTCAGTATTTAGTATCATCTCACATTCAAATTTCCAAACATGTCTGTTAGGCTTCTCAGTTCCTCATTAAATGATTTAGACAAAGAATATGAAAGACCTGCTAAATTGCTAAGTAGCAGCCAAGCCAAAGGCTTTGTAGCACACAGTGGTTTTCAATTGGATTCCATATTTGCAAGAATGGTTGGAGAGGCCCATTTTTCAAAACTAAAAATCCCCAGAACTGGCAGCATGACAGAAGTCGAGACAACCTCCTGAAAGATGTAAAAATTGAAGACTGCTGGAGAAAAAAGTATGCACTAGGTCAGACATTTGTATTGACACAGAGAATTGGTGGAGCAAATACATCTTGAGTTATGAGGCCGTCTTCCCATGCTGCATCTATGCCATACCTGGAATCAGTCATCAGGTGGCTAGAGAGAAAAAGGTTTTAAACTAAGGAAAGAAAACACCACCCAAAAATACTTCCCTTAGCTCTCTCCCACCAAAACCAGCTAGAGAGGGGTGATGGTTGTCAGAGCAGTGTTGTTAGAACTGCCTTTCACACTTGTGTTTCATAGTGCAACAGGCAGAGTATGAGTGTGATGAAATTCCCCTCCAAGTACATTTGCTCATTTCAGGAACAAGTTAACATGCCTTCCAGTTTGGTGTTTATTTGGGATATTTTAAATTAATATACTGATATACTAAACATGTTTGAAGCATCAGAGGCACAAAATGAATCACATTTTCTTCAGAAACCCACAATTTCCATTCATTTAAGTGACCACCTGCTGTTCATTCAGTGTTTTACAAATGGGATCTTGCTGGGAAAGAATTTAATGTAATTTTCCCTGTTGAAACCTTGGCCTCCTGAACTGGTTTGGTTGTGCTGCTCAGGTATCCTCAAGACACTGGCAAAACAGCCCAAGCAAGGCCAGCCTTTGTCCCACACCCTGCCTTCTCAGAGGCAACAGCAGGCTTCAGGGACACCATTTGCTAAGAAATGAGTTGTCATCTGCCTGACTCTTGCCTGGGCATTGGAAAAGCCAGGCACTGTTACTGCACTGTTACAAGCAGACATTATGCTGCTTAATGCAATACAGCTCGTGTGGAAATGAAGGCCACAAACCCCAAATGATTTTTCCTGCCCACTGACCAGGCAGAATTTGGCACTACTTCTCTTGCTACTTTTTTTCTTGTAACAGTCTTCTCAAAAGTGTCTGCCAACATTAGCCTTGATGTAATTCCAGCAGCTTCACCAGAGGAATATTTAGCTCTGTCCTTAATCACCCTCATCCACTTTTTGACTTTGCAAAATCCTTCTGTGAACAGTGATGTGCCTTTGATGCCTGAGACAGCAAACCAAGACTTACTTCCCTGTGGTCAGACAAACTCCAAGGTCAGTGGGGTGGAAAGGCAGACAGTGCTGGTTTTGCACGTCAGCTGTGGCTGCTCCCTTATGCCTCACTGAGGTCACTAGCCCCTGCATCAGCTCGCCCTTCCCATTCACTGCTCCACAGATTCTTCCAATACCATGGACCATAGTTACCAGTAGCTCTGTTGCTCATTTTACATCATCAAACCACAAGTACATCACCTTTCATGTAAACATTTTTCCAAATACAAAGCTCTTTAAATTACATATGCCAAAGGACAAAGGCTAAAGAGGAAGAAAAAAATCCCAACAATTAAATGCATTTGTCACAAAACTCAGCAAAAGACGACTCATTGGGTGGCTTCATGATTGTTGTACTTCCTAGTCATTATCTCTCTACCTAAAAAGCTATAGAAATTAGTCAAGGTTGCCTTTAGAAATAACTTGTGCTTTGTAGTCAATATATGTTAATTGAAATCTTAGGTCCTATGACCTTGGAGTTGTCTGCAAATACAGTAGCTGATGTGATTTTCTTTTTAAGACAGATTCTTTTTCTCACGGCACACAATTCTCTTCTTTTAGTAAAAGCAGGGACACAGATAACACCATAAAGATGGACTGCAAACATTTCAGCTCACAGGTAGGTGCTACTTGATGCTGATTGCCCAGGGTGTTAGCAGAGGCAAGACTTACCTCCCCATGTGCAATATGGAGCATACACTTCTCCACAGGAGGCAGATCCCAGCAACCTCTTCTCACAAGTAAAGCTGTACCTGACACTTTGTTGTCTCTCCAATTAAGATTCTTACAAAGCTTTTCATTTCACATTCAGTATAGTCTTGCCTGTTGCAATGCAAGGGCTGGCAAAGCACAGTGTGGTTTATGTTCCTTGTTTCCCCACTTATACTTGCACAAAGTACATACTTTACATGGGGCAAGCATTTAAAATAGTGGAAAAATATTTGTCTCTGAATACCTTATCTCCAGTCAAAACTGCAGAGCAAGAGGATACCTGAGGGCATCATGCGTCTGAATTCAGGTAAAGGTATCAGCTATACTGCTACTTTTCCAAATAATTTTCTCCATTAAAATTAGATGAACTCCTAGAACTTTTGCTTTTAAAGCAGAAATGGAAGGTTGTACGATTTTTCAGTTAAAAAAACCCTCATTCTTACAAAATCACTGAGATGAAGGCATCTCAGTGAAAACAAATTACTGCAAATTCTAACTACACCTCAGAAGAAAAAACTTCTGTCATCAGCACCCCAGTTTTGCTGCACTTGTAACTTATGCCCACTTACATGAAAATGTGAATTGCTAAAAATAAAACAAAAAACAAAACTGAAAGGAAAAACTCAAACTAATTTGACAGAACACTAAAGAAATATGAAAGAGTGACTTCAGACTTCTGAAAGCCTCTAGCAAGAGCCCTCAGGCCTTTCTTTTTTTGGTGGATTCCTCTTACCTCCACAAACCAAGGGCAGGACATACTGAGACATGTTTACTAGAGAGATTGGCCAAGTCTCTCTTAGTCCTTGAGGGCTTGTAATGTGGTGTGAACTGCACTGCACAGTGCCAGTGCAGGCACAGAAGAGATTTTACTCAGTCATGAAAATAAGCCAAATAGAATTCCATCAGTTTTGCAAGAAGCAGCAACATGCTTGTCCAAACCAGGTGACAACTACCACGACTGCATTTAATTCTAACACCTGGTCTTCAAAAAGGTTTCAGTTTTGCAATCTACATAATCCAGAATTATCCTTACTGTGGCATTATTTGTAAAATTAGAGAAAAAACCAAAACAACTAAAACAACCACAAAAAAAAGCAACCATGTAAACCCTATTACAAAATGAAGTGGTAAGTCCTCTCTTCCTTCCTGTGCTACTGCCCATGACAGATAATTCATCTAGGACAAAGTAATGAACCAAAAATGTAATGACAATTCAATACTTGGAAGGAATTGAAGTCACAGAATGTCACAAAATGCTAGCACCATTAGGTCAGGACATCTCAGCTGTTAGCAAGACTTGGTAAAAGACTCATATTTTACATGACAAGTTATACAAAGATTCAGACCTTTTCCTTAATCTTCAGTGATGCAAGCCTCACTGTCAGAATTCATGGTTACACTGGGATCTCTGTTAGTTGGTGCTGCATACTAATTCTCTTTTCAGCTGAAGATACTAAAAAAGGAATTGAAAATGACCAGATCATATATGACATCAAATAACATTCCTAAGGTAAGTAAATAGTGGTAAAGCAGAAAGCTCCTCTTCAATTTGCAACAATGCCATATTCCATTATTCTCCAAGGGCTGGAAAATTCACACAATTCCTACGGAATAAGGGCTCCAAAAAATAAAAATATCACCTATCAGCTGATGAGCAAGAACTTCACACTGTGTGGAAGGAGCTGCATGACTCAAAATACACAAAACACTTTAGAAAAGCCAACAGATGAACAGGAATAATTGTCCTTGAATACATCCACAGCACATCTCAACTCTCATGGCCACCCAAATAATCAAGAGTGGAAACACACCCACACACATTCCAGAATCCTACCAGGATGGTACATCAAAGCTTACTGTTTGATGTACAGAACACACCTCTTCAGACACCGGCAACATTTGGCCCCTTCTCTCCTTACCAGGTCTTCTTCCACCAGCAGCTGTGAACACAACAATTGCTCAGCAGAACTTTTGAGGAACACAGCATTTATTTCCTGGACTTGGTGGTTGTATTGCATACCACCACACTGCAGTGAAATCGTTAGATGGGCATTCATGATCTATGAACACAATTAAATTCCAGTAACAGACACCATTAAAGGAGGCAGAATCAACTTTCAAAAAACTAATTTTAATCAAAACAAAAAAATTGTTGATCATTAACAAGTTTATAAAACAGTGATTTAGTTACATAAATAAATTGATATCAGTGTATCAAATCTTAATTACTTTCAACTTCATGAGCATGTTTACATGGGTGATGAAGTACAACCTTTTTACCTATTATAATAAATAAAACGGAGAGCGTGAAATAGTTTTTCTAAACAAAAATACCTACAAACATACCTCTAGCATGTTCTCTAATGAAGGGAACAAGAGACACCGGACAACTTTTGCACCAAAACAAAAACTGTTTTAAAAAGCACAAGGATACAGAACCATCAGCTAAAGCAAAGTCACAATGCTGTAATCAAAGTTGGTATTTAATAATATAATGAACAGTTTGGTAGTTAGATCTCCAGTTTGGTTATTTTAAAGCATTAAGACAAGGCAAGATAGAAGGCTGCTTCTGTTTGAGTAATTCTAGAGAAAATAAAATATATTAAAAAAACAAACTGAAAAGTAGAACAGTCATACCTACACAACTTTCTGTCCTGCACAAAGTCAAAATACCTATGCAGAATATATATATATAATATATATATATGTTATTTGTGCACAAAGGTTAGCTTATTATTAGCTCACTGCAAAGGCGTAACGTATCATGTCAATAATTTTGGAAAACATTTTGCGTTTTGTGTCAAAAAGGATATTCTTTAAGTCTTCTAGGCTAGGAGGCACAAACCCCAATTCTGGCATACTGTATTCTTAATGACAGTTTGGTAGTTAGATCTCCAGTTTGGTTATTTTAAAGCATTAAGACAAGGCAAGATAGAAGGCTGCTTCTGTTTGAGTAATTCTAGAGAAAATAAAATATATTAAAAAAACAAACTGAAAAGTAGAACAGTCATACCTACACAACTTTCTGTCCTGCACAAAGTCAAAATACCTATGCAGAATATATATATATAATATATATATATGTTATTTGTGCACAAAGGTTAGCTTATTATTAGCTCACTGCAAAGGCGTAACGTATCATGTCAATAATTTTGGAAAACATTTTGCGTTTTGTGTCAAAAAGGATATTCTTTAAGTCTTCTAGGCTAGGAGGCACAAACCCCAATTCTGGCATACTGTATTCTTAATGCTAAGGCTTGCTGCTCTGGCTGTGTATTTTTTTGTTGTCCCTCTTTACTATAGTGCCTGTTACAAGCATGTGTGTATGTGTGTATACATATATATGTATACACAAGTTGTATAAATATATATATATATAAAATTTTCCCCAATAGGTATCAGTCCAACCATGCAACCCAAAAGGTGGCTCTGCATAGATGCCCAGCATATAGTTCACCACCTGAGCCAACCCTGAAGCAAGGCGCACTTTAGTCCTTCTGATAGTTTTTTTTTTTTTGTTTAAAACCAAGCTACTGCAGCTTCAAGTATTTTGCATTACATAGATTTTTTTATAAATTAGTTAATGTTATATTTTTCAATATTCAGACATATACTATAATATATATACAGTACAATAAATGCTCTCATTCTTTTTTTAATTTTTTTGATAAATCCCTGAGAATGTATGTTGACAGTCGCTAAGTTTCCACATGCACAAGCATTGTGTGCCATGCTTCTGGATGAACAGCACTGCAAAGCCACGTGGTCAGCCTTTTAACTATTAGTATTTAATTTGTTGTTTGTTTAAATATGCTGAAATGTAAGGATGAGTTACAAAGGAGTAAAGCTGAATCCTTTCGAGGTACTTATCACAGGATGGAGGTGTTTTGTTTGGTTTTTAAAGCCATTGCAATATATGTTTGTTTTTGAGGCTGTGAACGTATACAGAAAGAACAGGAGAGCGATGTGGGCTTTTGCCACTTGACAACATATACTCAGTGTAAACCAAACCTTTTTTAACCTCTCTCTCATACAAAACAGAAAAAAGAAAAGAAAATTAAACACACAAACTTTCACAACATGACAGTTTAGTTTGCAAACTCAATATAACTATACACATATAATACCGGTGTGGCTCTGTTTCTTTAAGTTAAAAAGGATACAAAGGCAGGCTCAAGTAAAAACAAACCACCCCTCCCCCCCCCAATCCCCCATTCACTCATTTTCATCAACCAAACCGTTCACGAACCAGCATCATCAGTTTCTTTTTGCCTTTGTAGATTTGTTTTAGGTTGTCAATAAACTGTGTAAACTGGATGTGACCATCATGAGCCATTAGGAAGGTCTCTCGTGCCTTGCTGAGGAACTCTATAAACTCACTATAGTGTCGTGGGCTGATGTGAGTGAGACGTGAATGAGTTGTATTAATGTAGGCTCCGATTGTGGCATCCAAGAGCTGCCGTAAAGGGGCTTTGTCCAGTGACATGAGCTTACCAGAGTTCCTCCTTCCATGAAGTCCCACCATGCCAGGAGTGGTCAAAGTACACCTACGCAAAATGTCTGACAGTACTGTTGCACACTTGACACTTTTGACCACCAGAGGTATTATAGCTGCTAGCTCATTTTTCCCAAGGGAGTGGCTGAGCGCACATGCCCACAGAACGTCATTAATGGCAGGGTGTGTGTCCTGATTGTAACTCAGGTTGAGATGTGTCATGGCCAAAGTGGCCAGCTTGTAGGCCCGCATGGGGTAACCACGGTGCTCCATGTATCGTGCTATGGTAAAAAGCTGCGAGTAGCTCATGCCAGCTGTAGCAGCATCTAGAACGATTTGGTAAGCGGTCTCGAAAGCTATGTGATCCTTTTCACATAGGGTCAGTGCAGAAAGGGCACAGTTTTGAGGATCCTTCATGGCACACTGTAGAGCAAGCGTCCTAGCACTGCCAGCCAGCTTCTCCTGCTGATGGCAGTCCAGATGCAGGCGGACAATGGTGCTGTTGGACATCACTGTTGTAGCAACAATACTAGTGGCTTCTGTTGGAGTGAAAAGTGTAAACCAGTTTTGCATGATACTATCCAGTGCGTAAACACCTGGGGGAGAGAAAGAAAGGATTAGCCACAACTGATAAAACCCAGCAGACAGAGATGTTCAGCAGATTATAGTTCCCACAGAGTCTAAGAGGTTACCAGTACATCTCAGCAAGAAGGGCTCACAGACAGCATGGCTAGAAAAGAACATTAAAACTAAGACTACTGTATAAACTCCACAGCAATCACATAAACCCAGAAAATAACAAAAATAGCCTGCAAGATAAGCTTTAATCTCCTGTTGTGACAGCTGTTTTACTTAAGCTGTTTTACTTAAGACAATTTGGGTAAAACATTCTGGCTCATTTTGTCTCATCATCTCACTCAAAAGCAGCCCTCACCTTGCACACCAAGGCAATTGCAACCTCTTTTCCCACTGTAAATCTCAAGGCACAGCACATGTGAAAAGTAGGCAAAATGGCTTTCTTAAGAGAACACCATGACATACCTCAGCAGAACTAATTAACACACCTTAAAGCAATCAAATTCTTAAGTACATGATCATCAGGATCCTTATTAGAGAAATACAATGAGCAATATGAACTACTGGATATTCCGTTTCTCAGTGCTGCTGTATTCCCAGTGTGTTTTGCAGGTGGAGGAAACACTGACTGACGGGTTCCATAAACTGAACCTAGAATTAACTGGAGTGCCTTACTGCTAGAGGCAGTTTACACACATTTGTGAGCCCACCTAAACAGTGGTCTTTATTTTCTCTGCAGAACTCTAATGCTTCCCATGCACCCCACCACTCATTTGCAGCAAACCAGCATAACCAGAGAATACAGTATCTTCATTTTAAATAAACAGATTCCTTGCATTACCATATTGATTCTTTACTGTGTTGATTAAGTCTCAAGAGTACTTTGCATGACATTTTAGGTACTTTACAGGACACGCATATTAGAATATGTAAACCAGTGTAAAGCAATTTTAAATCCAGTATTTTATTTGCTGAGATGCAGCTGCACAAAATAATACTCAGGCACTAATATCTGAAAGATAACCTCAGCAAAAATTACCTTTATATCTTTAGCAAAGATATAAAAACAATAAAATAAGAGCATTGCATGAAAATTTGCAGACACAAACCACCTTCTGGCTGAGAGCATACACAGGCAAGCTCTATTTCCCCATGCTATTGACAACAATATATGGCCAGCTAAGCATAAAGCAAAGAATGAATTAATCCAGAGAATAAGCAGCAGCAATCTTTCCTAAGTTCTAAGAAATTCAAGAAGCATCTGTGTAATCCAATCCAACTCAGATATATGAAGAAGGAAGAAATACAACAGAAAAACAGGCTCTCCAGAAATACCTTTACCGATAATTAAAATGGCTCTATTATCATAAGTACTTAGATTGTTCGAATTACCATTGCTGCTGATTTTTGATTTAGCAGCTATATAGCTTTTAATGCAGTCACAGTCATCTTCATTTTCTGACCTTGCATCCTCATTTTGAAGATGGTAAACCTTAACATAGAAGGTTTATGAGATGCCTCATGTAAACATGAAGGAAATCTATAGCAAAACCCAAAATGAGCCAAACATGCTACTTGAGAGAGCACTGATTTCCCACTTCTGTATTGAGTATTTTGGGTATTGAATATTTGCATTTGGGTGATTCCCATAGGTTATGCACACCTCCACCTTATGGGGTAAAGAAGTCACACTGCATTACTCAACTATTGTCTCACTTGCTTTGTGCCTAAAAACACCCACTAATCACTGCCATAATGTGTTCGCACCAAAGGAATTTTAGAGATGAACATGAAGTGGGAGGCATTTGCAGAACCTGGGTGTTGACAAGGAAGATCAAGCCCTGTAAGAGCAGCTGACAAGAGAAATATTTCAGAACATACCTACTTCTGTTGCACATGTTACCAACCACCTCACCATTTCCCGCCGTCGCCAATTCAGTGTTGACAGTGTCATCCGCATAACCTGTTAAAAGAACACAAACCAAATAAAAATTAAATTGCAAACCAAGGCCATAGACAAACAGAAAGGAATTTTAAAGTATTCAAATACACTGGAGTTAAAAATGGCAGCCCTCTTGTCTTCTCCCCTCCATTTCCTCTTTTTCAGCTGATATGTCAAACAATTTGAAAAACAATGTTCAGATATTTTTGAACAGCATGCAGAGAGTAATTCCAACTGCAGACCCTTCGAGGATAGAGGACAGACACTGTTTTATCTGGGGACAAGGAAAAAACCCTATCCCATAAAAAAGCCTTCTCCCAAGCAACAAAAAACAACAATCAATTACCAATTATTGAAATTAAATTATGTAACATCTCCTCCCTCTATGCAATTATCGTGTGATATTCCAGGGCATATAACTGTTGCAAGTAGTCAGGTACTAGATACTGAACACAGGCAACCTAATTACAATTAAGTGGAGGAGAAAAGAAGGGGGAATCATCTATAGGCCACTAGAGACAGTGCTGACACTGTTTTTTGCAGGAAAAGCCTGCACAGCTGGGAATTACATCGCTATGCATCTTCCTTCTGGAAAACAAATCTTTAAGATCCTTAAAACACATTTGGTAAGCTTGGAACATAACAGTGGGCAAATTCTACAACAGTTCGAGTTTGTTAGGTTTGTGACATTACTTTCACTAGATCATGCTGAAGATATTCTGATGACACTGTCAACCACAGAATATCCATGAATACATGAATACGCAAAGTGTGCTGTTTCCATTGAATGATACTTGGTGAAAGCTTGAGGTGACACACAGGTCAATTGTAAGGATTTTTCTCTCTCTTACATTAACATTTAAGGCAAATGAAACAAACAGATTTCCACAGTGATCATGGAAATATGAAAGCCTAACAAAGCATACAGAACCCTCAGCTTTTTGATTAAAGATTTTAGTACCTTTCTTCAGCATAAGAAGCAACTGGGAAAATATACTTTTCCCAGAAGTCTTTGGAGCTTTATTTACTGAACTGAAGTAATAAATGGTTTTCTGATCTTTGCATGGTTCTTTTTTAAGAATTCCCTGAAGAGGGATGGAGATATTTGTTTTTGTTGAAATGAACTGCGTAAACTCTAAGATTCAAAAGTGTCAGGTAATATTTACTACTTGGCTGTCTCCTTTTAACTTGCAAAGTCTCTCCTCAGAGCCTGAAAACTGATCTGCAGTACTTGTACACCTCAAGCATACTCAGATGCATCTGACTATACCACAGCTTGTGGAATACAGGATGTTGATGGAAGTGAGAAGGCTGTTGTCAACATGCTCTGCCTTAGCAACCAGTCACTATGGTTGACCTTGGCTTTCAACAAGCATGTACCAGTTCTCATTTAGGGGAAAGGAAGATAAAGAAAAGAGAAAAAACCCTCAAGACCATGCAGAAAATACAGTGCAATTCCAGCAAGCAGAGTAATTTTACTTTCTAGCCAGTCCTACATATAATCCTGAACCCACCACACTGGTCCTCTCTCACCCCTGAACAGAAGAGTGCAGCCAACAAATGCCAGTTCTACCATCCACTTGAATGGCACAAAGGGACTGTGCAGATTCCTGGTCTGTGTTTACCAGTACATTAAGCCTCGTAGTAGAAAACAGAACTTAAAACCAAGTCCAGACAGAGCCCAAAGACAGTATCCTTTCCTGTGCTTAAAAGCTACAAGCATCAACACTGCATCAAATTTCTTTCTTCAATTATAATAATAATAAATGAAGGAAATACCTGAAGACCCAACTCCAGAGAAACTTTCAGAAGAGTTATGTCTGGCAAGCTGTCCATGAGTGTTGCTATTTTAAATGCATCCTGGGCAAGTTTGAAGATGTGTGATGAGGAGTGGATGTTTTTCTGGATGGATTCTAACACTGTTTCCAGTCTCCGAACATCACCTGCAAGGTGTAAACAGAATCACCAAAATGGAACAAACTCTCAAAACACCAAGAGATCCATTATATCTGAGCCTGACATTGCTATGCAATAGTATGATGTTTCAATTACACTCACTATAATTAACTCACATATGAATGAATGATATAAGAGATCACAGACTGCTCTGTCTGAAGGTGTTAGTGCAGCACAGGGCCAAAAGTCACTCTGATTTGTGAATTTTAGAACTGACTTGTCACTTCTGTGTCTCATAGTCAATGTCATGTGTCAGGAGAATAAAAAGCTGTCTCATCAGCCTCATACCAATCTCATCTAGCTACCAGCTAACTAAATTAACTACTATGCTAGAAAGTTACATGAGAGTTCAGTTTGTTGTGCCCATTTCAAACTATTGCCAGACTGTGATCTGGACTCCTAAGCATGAGTTTTATGATCTGTTTACCCATGCAATATTAAAAGCACACATTTAGTTGAGTACATAACTGACAGCAATGTACCTTTGGCTGCTGTTAGCATGGTTGATGCCAGCTCACACTGCTGGGATTCAATATGACTTAGGGTGAACCAGCGGGGATACCGGTTTGGAACAACAGAAGCGATGTGGTGAGGGCGGGACAGGTCACCTGAAGGAGCTGTGGACTCCAGTACCAGCAACCTGAAATAAGAAAGAAATCCTCTTTCATTAAACCACTATTACATTTGGCTGCTCCTGAGCTAAACTAAAGCTGCAAGAATACTTGGTATTGTGTATGAAATATGCTTTTTCAGTTTCAGGAAAAAAAAAAACTGGAAAACCACATCTCTCCTTGGGGAAACTCAAAAGTTCATTTGCCAAACTTTCCTATATCAATAGGCATTTTTAACCTACTGGTATTTTATAACGTACTCTAATCAGATGTTAGGGTCCCAAACAGCAGTGACAGAGAAGTTTCCTTTAATATGATTTTCAGACTCCATTTTCTCATCAAGTATTCATCAATCAACAACAGTCTTACTCAACAAGGAGCATTCATACTTCAAAAATTCAAATTAAAGTGTTGTTGACTACTACAATGACAGCCCACAGCAAAGATATAACCTTACTGCCTTGCAATACACTAAATACTGACAGTACAAGAGCTACTCTATAAATGTCAATACAAAAAATAGGAGTGAATAAAAATAGGCTTTTTTTCAATACAGTTAAGCATAGTTTCAGCATATGAATGGTTAAAGAAATAGTCATGTCCAGAAGAAAAGCTTTTCCAGTGCTTAGCTTCTTGATGTCTCTTAGTGTCTGAGGTCTGTTTCTACCAGCTTTCATATGCATGTGATTTTCTAGAAGGAAGTGATCTGTGAGGATCAAGGAAGTTGCATCCCTTTTGTCCACAGAGCAGCAACTACCGAACATTGAAAATCCAATGCATTGTGGTTTTCAGTGATAGACTATTTCTCACAGAACAAGCCCATTTAAATGTAAGTTACAATTTCTTATATTTAAATAAATACCTAATACCTAAATTCTGTAAGCAGCTGTGGAGTATGTTGATTTTTTTTTTATTTGCATTAAGATGGATTTGAGTTCCATCAGGTTTTTTTTTAGATTCCTGAAGCATATGATATATTAGTAAAACAATAATACAGTATAATAATAAATTTAAGAATTCACTGAGAAAGGTGATTTTGAATATATGGAAAGGCATCTAGCAGGCACCTAAAAATACAACACGCCACCCAAATAACTATCACACACCTACAAGAGCATGAAAATAGCAAAGAAACCCCCTTGTACCAAGTCAAATCTATTCTCCAGCAGCAGAAAGACACCTCTTCATAAACATATTCTAAAGCTGATTTTTTCCAAGCACAGAGTAACATTGCAGAGGTGCATTATAAGATAGCTTCAATGAACAGAAAAGATCTTAACTATTAAATTAAGAAAGGGATTAGCAGGTTATCAGGAAGAGTAAACAGCCAAAAAGCATGAAAGAAAGGCTGTTTTGGAGAAATCTTTTGTCACTTCGCATATCACTGCCAGCTTCTGTGCTCTACTGCTGTGATAGGATGTGCTGCTGCGAATTGGTGGCTTTCACACAATTTTGGCAAGGTTAGGGAACACCAGAAAAGCACACGTAGATTTAGCATCCTTAACTTTTTTTTTCCCCCTTTGAAACATCAATTATTTAGTTAGGTTTCAGCAAAGCTACTTTGTGATAAACATCACCATTAAAGTCTGGGTCCCAAAGCCTGGCTGAAATTCAGGCTTAACAAAGGATCAAATCAAACTAAGACAAACATTCACAGATTACAAGTGAGCAGTCAACTGCAGATCCACATTCTCCAAGGCTATGCTCCATATGTTTCAGTCCTACAAGCAGAAAACTAGACAGAAGCGACCATCAATAACTGCAGAACCCTGTCCTTGCAGACCTGAGGTGCATACATGAAAGGCTTTCTGGTCTCAATTTCTATTTATTTCATATTAAGTGTTCCATACACTAATATAGGACTCAAAAAATTAAACAGTAACAGGTATTTTTGAATACAGAAATGTTAAATACTCCTGAGCTGCCATGGGTAATTGATCCATAGACTTCTATGCAGACTGACATGGAACACTTCTACCTGAAGAGCAACTACCTGGGGTCTTAGGAAATTTATTTCTTTAATAAATGTGAGAAAAGAAATATGCTTTACTTCTAAAAGCATTAGCAGCTGTAGAGATTTTCATGCAACACCTTACAAACTTCCACATGGGCTTTCTGTCCTTGCCACAGCCACTTCCTCTCTCCCATAGAAGACAAGATGCTCAAGTTTTTATCTTCTGACCCATTCAACCTCTCAGCCATGAGACAAACATTCAATCTTCATGTTTGCTTTATTCTTGTCCCCTCAAGGCAGTATTACATTACTTTTTCATTTGGTTTGTATTGGGAGTCCTTTACTCACTGAACTAACATTTTGGTGTGAATGGACAGAATAATCATCCTTGTTCATCTTCAGGAGAATTTAAGAAGTGCAGAAGAATGCAGACAAACATGGAATAGAAAATGTCTAAATCTGCCACCACTACCATTCAAGACAGCAGTCCACATTTCCGAAGAGTGCCAAATATCAAACTGCAAAAAAAAAGATTACTGTCTAGGGGTGAACCTTCCTCTGTCTTATAAAATGATGAAAAAAAAGCTATGGAGGGAAAACAGCCCTGATTGCACTGACGTTTCTTGTGATTTTACCAGATGGAAACAAAAAGACAATTCTTTCTTAAACTGGTCTATTTAAGAAGTAATTTCTTTGGTTGAGATGACAGCTTTATAGCAAATGAGGGCTGGAGCTACCCAAGACTAACTGGAGATTTCATCATTTGGACCTTTCAACGTCTTGTTTGTTTTTCTAGTTGAGAAAGGAAACTTCCAAAAAAAGAAGTTTTCAGTTATGACTGGTTTCTGGGCAAATCCTTGTTCAAACCAAACTGCATATTGACTCCATGTTCACTGAGGCAGTCAGGAAAGCTGCTGATGGATGACTATTCCAGCCTTGGAGGATCAGTAGCTTAGTTTAAGGAGTAAAAATCCACACAAACTACCTCTTGAGACATACTTTAAGGTAGTAACTGAAAATAAATACAAGTATGTTTTATAAAATAATTAACTTTTTTTCCTTAAAAAAAACCCCAAAACCATACCAAACAAAACCAAACCAACCAATGAAACAACAAACAATGAAACAAAACAAAACCAACCAAAAAAACCTCCACATACCAAATTTTGTACTATCTTCCTGTTCTGATATAATCAGTAATTTATGCACTTACCTTGAGATAAAAGAAGACTAGCAAACTTAAGTGGCCTAGGTAGCTTTCTGATCACACATTTGAATGTACTCAATAGTTCATCAGTAACGTACTGTTGTCTTCTCAATCTATTTCCTAAAATGCTAATTGTAACCAGCAAGTATGCATGGTCACTCTTCACATTTTTTAGACTCTTCCTATAGCATCCATTACTAGACACTCTTGGAGGCAGAAAAATACCCAACAGGCTAAGCAGACCTTTGGCTTAAACTGACAGCTATATTTTGGTCTTATGCAGGGCCTCCCATTTAGTCCTTCAAACACAGGAATTATTTCTCCCTATTTAGCTTTTTGGAGAGAGTAGCCCCAAAATAAACACCTCCAAACCATACAGACGCAACCTGTTTGATGAAGCTAAATACTCTTCATGTGGGTAGGATGAATCACTGTGCAATCATGCTTGGTGATAATGACCAGGAAAACTCAACATTTTTTTCTTTTTTATAATCTAAGACTTGACTGCTTTTGGTATTCAGCTGTGGCTATTCTTTGCCAACCATTAACTACTAGGTTCTTGATAGTGAGCAGACAATTCAGATGGGACACTCTATGTGGACAGCAGTTTTATCACTGATCATTTAGGTCCTTGAAAACGCATTCAGAAGTCTTTTCTTAGATATCATTACCAATCTGACCTGTTCTGAGACAGCACACCCTGAACACTGCCTGAGAAACATCTTTTTCCTGATTACTGAAGACAAATGGGACGAAACCAGACATTTTGCTGACACTGGATGTACTCCATTTAGATTCCAACATTCACCCAGAAGAGGCTAAGATGTTATGAAGCACTAAACAATGCACAAGTTCTGACCACACCACTCAAATCTACTGTTGAGAGTAAATTTATAAAGAAGGTGAGTGAAACAAATTGTCCTGCTGAGCAGACTAAGCAGCAAACAATCCTGAGACTTATGGTAAAATACCTCTTTCCTTATTTCATTACCAATATCATCATGCACACACAACAATGGGTGGGAGAATCCATATGCTAAAGTGGCTTTATAACACAAAATCCTGCATCCCAGGTGTGGGATTCTAGAAGTATCTGAAACAGAAAATCCTGTTTTACAAGTCTAAATAAACACTAATTGGACATTTAGAAATTATTATAATACAGTTACTACAAATTTACTTTTATAGATGACAGAACCAAAACAGTACCTCCTTGACTCCTTGAATGGAAGAATGCATATTTTAGAAGAAGAGACTAGGTCTCAATTACCAAACCTTTTTCCCCTTTCTACATCTACTACTCGTGCTCTTTTTAGACAACTCATGAACACGTACCGCATGGCTCTCAGTGCAGTTTTGTATGCCAATTCAGCATCATGAGGTAGGAGAGAGGTGAAGAGATACTTGGCAAATGTGTGCATTGGAACACTCTCTCGATGGATGACTTCACCTAAGCCACTATATGGTCCACCTGCAGGAAAGAGGAACAGAATGTCAGTCTTTACAAACTGCTAGACCCCAACTTCTGAACCTTTAAAAGCATTCACTACACCTTCAGCTAGAAGTGGTATTCAAAGACATACTCTTCTGCACAAAAGGTGGCTACATTTCAGTGAAATATATAACACATCATACATACACAACCTGTTACAGTTATATTAAATACCACATATTATTTAGGAAAACAAGACACACTGCAAATGGTATCACACTAAACACACTGCCAGTGCTTATATAAATGACAGAATGACTACAGTATTTCATGGACACATTTAGCAAGCCTGGTAAGCAAAAGCAGAAATAATCCTATCTCTGCCTCCACACAATTGTATTATGCACATCAATACCCATGCATCCTGTTGGTGTGCCACTGCTTCATCACAAATTCACCAGGAAAAAAAGAATGATGACCATAGAAAAATGTGTATCTTCAATTGAAATTACACGACAAATCACCACAGCAGCACCTGATCCCTCAAACACCTCACCTAACATTGGCATTTAAATAACCCTTTGGTCTGGATGCAGTCACGACTCAAGTCCCAGGTCCTGCCCTTGGGTCACAACAACCCCAGGCAGCTCCACAGGCTGGGAACACAGTAACTGGAAAGCTGCTCAGTGGAAAAGGACCTAGGGTGATGGACATGAGCCAGGGTGTACCCAGGTGGCCAAGAAGGCCAATGGCATCCTGGCCTGTACCAGCAGGACCACAGCAGAGACTGTCCCCCTGTCCTGGACACTGGTGAGACCACACATCCAGTGCTGTGTCCAGTACTGATCCATCACTCCAAGAAAGACACTGAGGAGCTGGAGAGAGTCCAGAGAAGAGCAGTGGAGCTGGGACAGGGTGTGCAGCACAAGTCCTGAGAAGTAGCTGAGGAAACTTGGGGTGTTTATCCTGGAGAAAAGGAGGCTCAGGAGAGACCTTATGATTCTCTACCCTTGCCTGAAAAGCCCCAGACAACCAGAGACACAATGAAAGGAAATGGCTTCAGATTGTGCCAGGCAAGGTTTAGACTCGATATCAGGAAAATCTTCTTAACTGGAAGGATGGTCAGGCATTGGAATAGGTTGCCCAGGGCAGTGGTGGAATCACCATCATTGAAAGTGTTCAGATTAAGTTTGGATTTGTCACTTATGAGCATGGTTTAGTGGTGAAGATAGTGGTGGCTGGTTTAATGGCTGGACTCAACAATACTATTAGTCTTTTCCAACCTGAACAATTCTGTGATGATGAACACAAGATCAGATCAAGCACCAAAGCTTGCTATTAGTCCAGTATACCCACACGATTTTTAAAATTCTATTTTATTTATGTGAAAATTATCACTATTATTGGGGCAATGGATTTTTCTCTCAGTAAGGTGTAGATTTCAATTTGATAACAGCAGCATCACGACAGACAACAACAAAGTTAAATGAAACTATTTACTTGCTGAGTTTCAAATGTTCACAGTGCATATGAATCCTATTTTGACATTTTTTCTCGCACACTTAAGACTGTTATTCCTGTTAATAAGAAAACTATGCCAAACAGCTTCTGACTTCAGTGACAAGAAGTTCAGGCATTAAATGCTGGGAGATACAGAATAATAATCTTGTATTAAATATTATTGGACAATTATTGCACTGGTAGCACTTAGCAGTCCCACTTAGTATGACTTCTACTAAGACTCTAACTCATCACACGATGGATGGATGGATGGGTGGATGGATGGATGGATGGATGGATGGATGGATGGATGGATGGATGGATGGATGGATGGATGGATGGATGAGTGAGTGTGCTTCTGTTTCAGCAATGTTTTTGACTGCTGCCTTAGCACAACATGCAAGAATAGAAATGGCTAGGCATGAAAAAATTCTGAGCTCCATAGGTTGGCATTTCTAAAGACAAGGGCTGATTGCACATGAAATGTCAAAGAAGATTTAGTAAGTGACAGTGTGTCTCATAACCATTTCAAATGAAGTTGAAAGCCATTCAAATCTAGATGGCATTGCTTGAATGAAAGAAGCAATTTCATGTATGTTTGCCAGCTGGTGGTCCAGTGAGAAACTCAGTCAGGACACAAAGAACACATGACAAAGCATTTATATGAAAATATATTTTGCCATTAACTTAGCAGTCAAGCAAAAAATCTGAACAATCCTTGCAAAACAGTCTTATGTTCTGCTTTCCCACAAACTCAAATGATAGCTACACACAGCATGCATTAATCTGCATTAACAGCACAGAAATCAGCTTAATATTGGATTAAGTTTTCTTTATCATATCTACCCAATTTCAACTAAAAACTCACAAATGGTATGATCAGCACCTTAAATCACTGCACAGCTTTTCCTCCATGTAAACTGGCAGTTTCTGCCTAATGTGGAGCAAACTGAAACTATTGCAGAAAAACCAGATTTCTCATCACACACTAATGCAAGACAACTGCTACACATTGCTCACAATGGCAATTTTTTAGGCAATTTTATTAGCAGACTTCCTGCTATGATCAATTCTTTACTACTCAAAGAGAACATTATAAGAATTTCAGTGATCAAAATAGTAAACTGAATTGTCTGAGAGTATGTCAAGAGAAATCCTGCCTTTTCCTCATAAAGCATCCTTACCAGTAAACAGATTTTATAATGCAGAGGAACCCTGCAAGCTAATAGCTAGATCACGACAGTAGCTTTTCCCGTCCTAAGGCCATAAAACAGCACTACAGATACACCATGACAGAAATTTTCGCTGTGTTGCAGATTCTCTGCAGTTTCAAATCTAGGCAAAAACAGTGACTTAAAATTGGGGACCCTAAGCAACATACTGTACCTCTTCCATGAAAGACAAAGCTTTAAAAGACTAATGTGTCACAAAAATAGAGTAAAACCTGATTGTTATGCAACCATCTCTCAACTTACCTAGCACCACACTCCCCTTCATGCCATGTGCATGCACTCAAAACCCGGGTGTCCCACCCAGCTTCAAAAACCTGGATTATGCCTTTGGCTAATTTTTTTCCCCAGAAGTTTTCTCTTCCATTCAAAAAGAACAAAACCAGAAAGACAACCTTGGAACCCACGACATCACAGTCTGAATATGATGCTTAAATGCTACATGTTAATCCTTTTCAAAGTTAAGGCAAAAGTACAGATGTTATTTCAACACTGCCTAATTCCAAAACACAAACGGTGTGTCATGGTCATAACTTAGACCCAAGACCAGACCTGAAGCCACAATATTTGACCAAGTACTTTAATTTCCACCTATGACATAAACTTCAAAGGCAAGTAATCTTCTTTATTTTCACAAATAAAATGTTGTATTTCTGCCTCAGCAATTATACGTGAATTTTCTGAGCTCTTCACTTTGGCACAGTGGTTAAAATCTTAATACATTTATAAAGCTGCCTAGTTCCTTAGTGGCTTAGTTCCTTTCACAGAATACTTAGAATTTTGGTATCTGGAAACTGTTGATAACTGATGTCTGCATTATATAATAGTTAGCCGGGAGTGTATAATCAGGTTATTGAGATTATGACATGCAACAAATGTAAAGAACAAAGTGTATTCAAAATTAAAATAAAAGATTTCTAGGTCAGTATATGAGTTATCTCCGCAGTCATATGATATCCAAAGCATGGCAATTTTCCTGAGACTTGATAAAAACTTTCATGGAGTTCTATGCAAAAAAAACGTCTGAAGCCGTAAGGCACTTTCTGCAGCAACACTAGCTCTGTGTACTTGTGTAAGTGCAGACAGTTTAGAGAAGCAGTTAGCATCTATATTCAGCTACCTTCTAATAGGAAGACTGCTTGTTTTCGAAAAATCTTCACCAGAGTATCATCCAATTCAATTTCTTGTAGCTTAGAAATGAGCTGCTCCTCATTTCGACAAACCTTCTCTTGTGCATACAAGCCATCTGGCATTATTCGCTGCTGTCCCAGCCCTATCAATGCTACTTCCACAGCCAGCGTTAAGTAAGATTCCCCTTCTTCTAGGAACTTGTGTGCAGGTAGGTGCTGGTACTCCAGAGATTTGCATTGCCCCAGGTTCTCTGTAAGGGGTGACACAGAAAGGAAAACACATCAGCAAATGATTTTAACCCATAATCTGCCTACAATGCCACATACACAAAAGCTTCCACTGTTAGTATACTATTTCAGAATTATTTAAATTATTAGCTAGTCTCAAAATACAACACTCCAATCTAAAATACATCATCTGATTCCACATAGCAGAAATACACAAAAACAATTTGGTTTTAAATAATCCACTCCAGTAAAAATAAAGGTTTTCATTTTTAAACTGCACAATTTTAAAAAAGGCAGCTCCTCCAGCTTTGTGTTAATGAGGCCAAAATTGTAAGATCCATTCCAATTTCTTTCCCTACCCATTTCTGTATTTCCTTAAAGCCCTAATGTGCAAGAGGAAGGGGAAAGTGCTTTTACACCTACGTAGATGTCAGCTGAAATTATTAGAATTGTGCAAATACAAAAGGCCCGGGAACTCTTCACCTTTAATATATGCTCTGTTTGCTAGCACTCTTTTCAGGCTTTTAATTTGTTACACTTGCGCTTATGATAAAAATGCATACTGTTAACACTAGAAGTCCAACTTTTAGTAACAATTACAAGCAAATCCCACACAGGCCAAGCCACAAACTGTTTTAAAGAGTGCTATCATTTAATTTAGCACTTCACAGACACAACACATGACAAAATGCTATTTCAGCTTGTAGCATTTTACAGTCTAATTTGGGAACAAAAAGTTGTACTTGTCAGATGTATGGAGATGGGCAATTGCAACAAATGGAAAGGCTGAATGCACTTGCAAGATCGCATGTTTTCAGCACACAGTATTTTTATTTCACGGGGTTCTTTTGGTTTTTTAGTAACAGCAGAGAATCTGATTTCCAAATTTTTTAATTGAAAGTTTTTCCAGAACTGGTGGGTAAGAGAGCAGAAGTTTATTAAAGAAAATCTAAGTGAATAAAAGGACTTTTGAGGCAAAGCCCCAAGAAGATTGTGGGTGTGTATATAAAAGAACTTCAGGTAAAGTAATGAATCCAGTTTCTGTCCACATAGTGGTGTTAAGAAGCTACTGTTAAGGTGGAAAGAGACTGAGAACAAGGAATTACTCAGTTAAAATCCTGGGGAACAAATACTGAAATTGAAACGTACATATCCTATCCCTATCCTAAATCATGTATTGATATAGCAACGCTACTTTCCAACTCCTACCATTTACAGACTATATATGTTACCAACTTCAAGTGTTTTGTCATTGTTTTGGAGTATTATGTACACTGTAGCTATGAAATCCAATAACATCCAGGACTGTATTTAGGAGTGTTGCCAGCAGGTTGAGGTAGGTGATCTTGCCCATCTGCTCAGCACCAGTGAGCCCACATTTGGAGTGCTGTGTCCAGCTGTGGGCTCCCCAGCACAAGGGCATGCTGTAGTAGATCTAGTGTGGGAACACAAAGATGATTAAGGGACGCAGCATCTCTCATATAATGAGAGTGAGAGAGGTGGGATTATTTAGCCTGGAAAAGAGGGCTCAGGAGGATCTTACCAAAATGTATAAATATCTGATGGGAGAATGTAAAGAAGACAGTGCCAGACTCTTCTCAGTGGTATCCTGTGACAGGACAAGAGGCAATGGGCACAAACTGAAATACAGGAAATTCCATCTGAGCATAAGAAAACACGTTTTAACTATGAAGGTGGTTGAACACTGCAGGAGGTTGTCCTGGAAGGTTGTTTAGTCTTCATACTTGAAGTTATTCGAAACCCAAATGGACACAGACCTGAGCAATGTGCTGCTCTAGGTGACCCTGCTACAAGCAGACCAAGTGGACTAGATGATCCCCAGAGGTGCCTTCCAAACTTAACTCTGCGATTAAATCCTGTGATTTCCTGCAATTTCTCAGAATGAGGACAGTGCACTGTATGTGGAGAAGACTGCTGCTATGAAGTCATATTGGGTTTTATTTTAAACATGAAATACGGAATTTTCTTCAAGAATGAGTAACTGGTAACTTTTAAGTGCTTTCTTAGTTTAAACATTTTCTCCCCCTTGTGTTTTCCTAAGGTATGCAAATGTGGATTCTTACACTATAGAAGCAGTGACCTTTGAAACTGATTCAAAAAAGACAAGACAGAAAAATACCTCCAGTAAATGAAGAAATGTACCAGACTGCTGCATTTGCTTGGTCTTACCTGTGAAATCAGAGAATCCATGGAAGCTGTCATCATCTACCCTGCAGGCTTCCATCAGGCTACCAAAAAGGGTGCCAATGGGGTCCAAAGGGTGTCCTACCCAGCCTTCAAGATTCGTTATTGAGGTTACTCCCCTGTGGAGAAGTTCTGTGGCAAAAAACACACACAGAAGAGGGAGGGAGGGAAAGAGAGCTCATGTAAGCCCATCAAAACAATTACACAAGTGAAACTACTTAAAATGCCCTCAGTACAGAATTCAAAGCATTTCCAGTAGTTTCTGCATAGAAAGAGAAAATAGTATCTTTCAGGGTGAATTCATTGCCCTTGGTGAATATGTAAATGAGGAATAAGAAAAGAGAATGGAAGCCAAACTTGTTGAGCACTAGCAAAGCGTATTATGGGTCAAAAATTTCAATGGCAATGTCTTTTGAAATCTCTTCCTTCCTACTACTAAAACTCTTCTGGAAATATCTGCTTGAAGAATTACAACAAGGACTTTTTTGGTAAAATATTTACAACAATTTGCTCACTCAAAAAGACACAGTACCTTTTTTGCAGTTTTAAGTTAATCTGATGGAACTGAAATAAATGAAAATATTCTAAAATATGTTCCAATTTCATAAATTATGAGCTTATACAGCACTTCTCTCTCTCTCTCTCTCTCTGCACTAAACTCAGGATGAAAGTTACTTAAAAAAAAACCCAACAAATGTTTAAATGAGGCATACAAGAAAAAATTGTCTTTTCATAGGATCAACTGTATTTTTGGTCATTTTAAGATTTTAGTCCACAAATACCTTCGTCAACATTTTTCTGCAGCCCATACCCATTACTTGGTTAGAACACAGAAAAAATATTAAGTGCAATGAATTGGAGGAAGCGTGATTGTGGTAACAGGTATTAGCTATTCCCCAAATCCACATCATATGGCAATAACTACCCTTTGACACTCACAGCTTTTTTCCTCCCAGACATACAGACACAAGTAAACGATGAGAGATCAGATGCATTATTGACTACCCTCAAAAAACTGTATACAAGCCATTATGCTTGTATACAAGTTAGTGTGTGGCTGCTCTGCTTCTTCGCCTGCCACACACTAACTTGTACCTCCCTTCACTCTTGTTCACAAAGCATCAAATATCTGAGTAACCATATGCATTAAACTTTTAAGTCCTGCTTTCTCCTATTTAAATGTATGGGGCTACAAAATGAAACACAGACACACTGTCAGGATGGTTGAGGTTTTTTGAAACAATCCATTGGTATGTAATATGAAAAAACCCAAGTAAATAATTCCATTACCTAACAAATAATAAAGACAATAGGCAGAAGTAAGGAATATTACTAAAATGGATTCATCATGGTGACTTCTTACTGACTCACTTTGTTCTATTTTTTCTGTTGTGCCTACTTATGAGCTTCTCTTGTATCATGCCAACCAAAGGCTTCAATCATATCGTCAGAGACATTTAACTTAAAATCACACAAGGGGCTCCATGAACATCAGATTAGCCACATGAATAAAAGCTAAGCAGAGGCATGGGGCATTTACTGAACAAAAAGCCTAAAGTTGGGCTGTAGCTGCAGTTTGCCTCTGCTTATAGAGACCAGCACACCTTATGATATTAAATGAGTCTTTTAAAAATTCCCCATGAAATTAAAAAATAAAAAAGCAGTAAGTGACAACACAGAAACAACAAACTACTTTGTTTCAGGGCAGGATGGATCACATTTCATGCACTTTTTAAAAATGATAATAGACTATTAGGTGATACCTACAGAAACTGCTCACAAGGGAAAGAATTTAACAGAAGTACAGAATGTCTACATGCTGCACTAGCAACTGGGAATGAAAAGGAGCGCTATTACAATCAGCACACTTACAGCAGATTCCTCACACCTGCCAGTGGTACAAACACACACACTTGACACAGACACCTAACAAAAAAAACCACTTGCTCCTTTTTTCAGTGTGAAAAAAATACAGAGGCACATAGGAACTGCAGCTAAATTTTTTTCAGCTAGGTGCATATCTTATCTTCTAAATGCTCATTTCTGGGAAAACATCTGAACACACACTTGAAAAATTTTGAAAATACGATTTCACACTGGTATTTTTGACTACAATGCATGAGGATACACACAGTTTAGAATAACAGAGATCTAAAATGAAATTTGAATGAAAGGATTAGTGTAGCAGCTGAGAAAGTAATTCCAGTTTTTCTACATACACTCTTCTACCACAAAGCCACCCCCTTCATCTGCTGCCTCTTCAAACTACAAAGGTTCAGAGCAGAATTATTTTGGGTTGCAAGGATCACGTGCCACAGAAACTATATCTAAAGGAGAACACCCCTTCAAAAAAAAAAAAAAAAAAAGGGTAGCGCTCAGTGAAATACCACAAAATATTTCATAAAAAATGGCATTAAAAAACAAACAAAACCAAAAAAACCCCAGCCAATCAAACAACCAAAAAAAACCCACACACAAAAACTCAATCCCCTCTCTATGGAGAAACTAAAATTTTAAGCGTTATAATAGATTCTCTTGGAACATACTGCCAGATTTGATGAATTTTTGTACTTCAGATTTTGCCTTATTGTACCCTCTAGACTTACACTTCAGAATATAAAGCTCAGCAAAATTACAGATCAGATAAAAAGAAATTAAACACCTGACATGCCAAATGCAAAGTCACCCTGTAAACAGGGTGACTATTTTCATGGTGTAACCAAAACCTCTAAAGGCCCTACCATGCCATATATATTGGAGAAGGCTGGTAAGAGCCCAGCACAGCTCTCAAGACAGTGTACAGAAAATCTCTGTCATCCAGAATGTGACATTACCACTACCCAGACTGAAGAGTTAAAAGCCATCTCTTTCACTTTAGTTTCAGAACCAGTTTCCTCATGCGAACTTCCTGATGTTACTGTCTTGCACGCCCTTTGCCCTCCTTTTCCCCACATTTACCTTTCTTCTGAGCCCGGAACATTTCCAGCTGTTTCTGCTGCTGCCTCCTTAGTGTATTAACAATAGCTATTGCTAGCCTCAGTGCTTCTCGTGGGTATCCATGAGATCGTAATGCATCCACCCTCGCGCAGGCTGTAGGAACATGTTCTAAAATAGAAACAGTAACTGAAGAATAGCAATGCCTCCATAAATGCAATGGCCTTTTTTGCTAGGTTACTCAAAAGAGCTTTTTTTGTTTCATTTTTTTTCTGTTTTGTTTTGTTTCTAAAACTGTGCAAGAGAGACTTAAAGGACTACTTCTGAGCCAACATTTCAAGAGAGCCTCTGTTCTTTTTGCCAGGCTTTTCATCCATCTCCCCACCACCTCCCCCCTGAAAATAATGGCATAGAAAATGAACAAAGCACCAAGTCATGGAAACATCTTTCCAGTTTAGCCACTTACCATGCCAGAGGGGCCACCCCTGAGAGTCAAAGAGCAAGTTTTCAGTGTCGTCGTGGTAACAGTAGTTGGTGTATAGGTCACTGCTGATAATGTGCTGTAAGTGGCTGTCCTGCCAGTGCAGATCGCACGCCTCAATGGCTCGAGTAAACACTGTCCGATGTGGCCTGTTTGATGAATCTGTCATTTTCACAGGTTTAGAAAACTGCATCAGCTTTTACTCATTCATACATGAATCAGTCATTCACAGTATCCCTGTCTTCTGCCTATTCACCAACCCCCAGCCAATGGCAGTCTGCCTTGCCCTCTTCTCCACCGAGCAGCCCGCAGATGACATTCCACATCCAATTATTACCCAAGAGCCCAGATGAAGTGTGTGCCATTCATCTTGCATTCAGAGAGAGATCTAGAAACCAGCACAGCTGATGGCAGACAGGACTCTGCACAGAGAACTGCTAGAGGTGAAGGACATCCAACAGCAAGTACAAACTAGAATGTATATGGCACTCAAGCTTCCCCAGTGTCTCCTTAGATTCACAACTGTCAGACTAAAGGAGGGATAAACTGCATAAAAGATCTGTAGTTTTTCTTTCTGAGAAGTGACACTAACTTTTGACACTAACTTTGACTACTTGTGTAACTTTGCTGGTCATGAACATAAATACTATTAATAAAGTGAGGTCCTGGAGCCATAGGACTGACATAATCCTCCCTGGACATCTTCCTACGGCAAAATTTCTCTAGTGACATGGCACTGCATCTATCAATGCTCAGAAGCCATGTCAAAGTTATCAACAGTGTGTCCAGGTTGGTCTGAACATGATGAGCAAGCAAAATACCTCTCTAAGGAGTCATTTGCTGAAAGAACTTATCTTCCTGGCTAGCTGTGAAATTTAATAATGAACCAAGTTTTTTCCTTCACAAGTGATCTTCCAAGAAAAAGAAACAACAACACACCCGACTAAGTGCAGATCTGACACCTACCAAGAAATTTAATTATAATTTTATTGCAATTATATGCAGTATGTATTATTACTGATGGTTTGAGGACTGTGAGCAGTTTTACCTGCAAAAACACCCTGCACTTTGCCTAGTTATTAGCAGACATCCTTGTTTGAAGATGACTCTACAAAGCTTCTGTCACATTTGACAATCACATTTTAGATTAGAAAGCATGATATCAAGTAAAAAGACACCTCCTCCAAGATGGTAGCATTGCAGCTGCACCCTCCACACACCTAGTAATGCAGAAGGCACATACCGAGCACATCCTACAGACAGACGCTTCAGTTTCTCACATACAAGTTCCATGTAGTTTAAAAAAATCCCTCTTTAAACAGCTATCAAGGCTTTGTAACTGCAAATGAAATAAAAACCCCAGTAGCAGAAGTAATACTAGAGTATAGTCAAGCAAAAACTAACAGGCTTTTACACAACACACTTCAAGGACATCCAATTTTCATGCAACAATATTTAGAAGCACCAAGTGAAGAGTTAGAAGACCTAATAAAACACAAATACCTGCTCTGAAAGTGTTACAGCCCCAGTATAACAAAAAAACACATATTTGTTCTTCTGCAAAGACAGCATTAGTACAACTGATTTTCACTGGTCAGTCCTCAACAAGAAAGTTACTTGTCCCAGGAAAGAGTGCTGAATTCTGCAAGGCTATAGTGTGTAAGATAGAAGTTATATTATACGTTGCAATCAGTGCATACGTTTAGGCTCACCTTGGTTAGCATTTGCACCCTGAGGCAAAGCATTGGTTAAATTGGGCAGCTCGTTTCCATGGTTTCCATCTTCCCAGGGACAAACATCCACACTGTTCCATTTTTTCAGCTGTTTTAGCCAACTGGACTTCTGCTCCAACTTGCAGTGGGGATTTAAGACTATACACATCCACAGAGCACCTGATTTTAAAAAAATTGCTAAATTATGTTTTCTATTAAAAATGCAGCAGCCAATAACTAATTGCAAACTTCTACAGCATATACTTTTTCTCCACTCAAAGGCTACACTGCTTGCTTCCCAGCTACGTTTAACACCACACAGGCTGAATTCCTGACACAGGCGCTTGGGCTGGCGCGGCCAATCTGAAACAGCTGAAATAGGGTACCAAGCCAGCCTTCTCAATTAAAAGGCATTAGTAGGTCTTTTGTATTAGAAATCCAGAGTTCCCAGCGTATGGCTCATCAGACAGGAACATCAAAGGCAAAAAAGAGTTCACATAAAATTACAGGAGTTACATTAACAAAGTTTTTTTTCTAATTCTTTTATCAGAAGTGAATTTTGTTTTATATTAATGACACCTATGTATCTTTCAGCTTCACATTACGGAAACCAAAGACACACATTAGTAAGACAAGGATCTTGTAAACATATACTTTCACACTCAGAACCCATCAGAAGTACTCATGTAATTCATTACCAAACGCATCTGGGTCTCAGATAACCAGTACACATTAGTTTTGTGCAGTGTGATAGGAATAAAACATTTTTACAGCAACTACTTCAGTAATTTGGTTACTCTAGAAAATTTCTTTTACATTTTCTGTTTAGGGAGTTCTAAGGGAAGGCTAATTTGTGCTGACATATCACATACCACCACTTCATAAACTGCTCCCTGAGACTGCATCTAGCACAGCAGGCATAAATGCATCTGGGTGTCTAGAGGTAATTTTCAAATGGAAAGGTTTTTCTCTAAATCAGCTGTCCCTTCACCAGCTTGAACTTTGATAGTAGCATAAAGACATCTGAAAATACTGTTTAGCAACAGTTCATTTGCTCACTAAGGACGTGCCTTATACACTAAAAGAGATCACAAGAATATGCTTAGACTATACAATGTTCATGACAGGCTGGAAAAAAAGCCAAAGAATAAAATGCAGCTGGCTCTTCTAGGATAATAAATGTTTCCCATTCTGGGATTCTTTTGCTAACTAAAAATGTAAAATTGATACCCAGGGTACAGGGCATCACTAACATTCATTCCTAAAGTAACTCAGGTTGACCACAGCACAGAAGCCAGTGGAAAAACAGCGTGATTCTTAAGGTTAAGTCTCCTGCTATTCAACACTAACACATTAGGGAAAGCAATATCCAAGAAATCTAAAAACCAAAACAAAATACAGTATGTTACTATTCAGAACACCAGAGAGACACTAAATTACTGCAGTTTATTACTGCACTGCAAGTGTTCTGGGTTCAGGAAGTGTCTGAAACTTGCCACGGGGGTGAATAAGACCAATACCACTTTTAAAAACTTATTTTCTTATTTTAATATATTACTTTCTTTAGACGCACTTGCCAGCACACTTCACTCTCCAAAAGGAGTCAAATTACAACTGGTTCTTATTATTAAGCATCAATGATTCAATTCAATGAGTACTGCCCAAGACAGAATGTCTGCATTTCTTGCAATCTGCAAAACAAAACATAAGATGCAGAACATCGGAAAGCCCTGGAGAACAGCTGTGGGCTTGCTTATTTATTTTCAAAATCAAGTATCTTGGAGGCATTACACTGTACCTCTCAGCATCTAACAAAAAAACACAAGCAAAACAAAACAACAACAAAAAAACTCCAACAAAACAAAAAACAACAACAGCAAGAAAAACCAACCAAAAACAAAACAAAACAAAACCCAAAAGACCAAAAAAAAAAAAAACAAAAACAAAAAACAAAAAAAAAAAAAAAAAAAAAAAAACAAAAAAAAAAAAAAAAAAAAAAAAAAAAAAAAAAAAAAAAAAAAAAAAAAAAAAAAAAACCAAAAAACAAAACAAAAAAAAAAACAAAAAAAAAAAAACAAAAAACAAAAAAACCCAAAAACCAAAACCAAAACCCCCAACAACCTACCAATGTAATACTTTGTAACCAGATTCCCAGTGTAGGCAGACTGAAGCAAAAGCAAAGTGGAATATCTTAAACCCACTCGGTAAGTATTTCAATCATCCATCAAGGCAGAACACACACTGCTGTGCTGCACCATACCCCTATAGAATAAGTGGCTTTTTTTTTTTTGCCCACTGCATCTGAGGAACACCACTAGAGGCATGACAATTCACTAGCCTCCTAAGGAAGCTCCACTACACATTTGGTACATCTATAAGACAGCAGAGGGCAAGATAACCCAAACTACTAAAATTCTTTAAAAACATCTGTAGTTTCTTGTGGGAAACTATGTCAAAGCTAACTACGTTGTTAGTAGTCATTGTCTCTGAAACTCAGGCAATTTTCATGTAAAGCGAAAGTGTATTTCCAATAAACCCCTCACAACCGCTTAAAATTTCACTAGAACCTACAGCTGCACCCTGCTCCCTATGACTTCAGAGAAAGCTGCATGCAGTATCTGAGATCTCAAACAGCTTTGATGGCCATTGATTCCATGCAGGAAGAGGAGTGTGAGACAAAACTCCTCCACCAGAAGAAAAAAAGGGAACAGAAAGAGCTTCTGTAGCGCTACAAAGTGTGCCACCTGGAAGAAGGATGCATAATGCCAATTACCCTACACTCTTCAATCTATTTGGATTTCTAGGTCTTTTTTGTTAGTTTGGGTTTTAATGAGGTTTCTTTTTGGTGTAAATTTTTTTCTTCTCCCCTCTCTCTGCTGCTGCTTCAACTGCATGCATTTACCTCTATTCATATCTCTTCCTACTTCTGCTCCCTAAACACCTTCTCCCTCCCCTGACATGTGCTCCATTCTGGCTGTTTCAATTCACTGATTCCTGCCCTGTGCCTCATGCTGAAAAGTCTGAGGAAAATGTGCCCAGCCTTTATCAAGTGGCAGGAGCCTGAGGGATATTCTTATTTGACTCTGATGCTGCTCAGTGGAAGCGCCCTTGAACTAGCCCTTAAATGTCAACACCAACCTGAAGGCGTACCCTAGTCTTAAACAGGAGAGTTTTTATTCCTGCCTGATGGCTCCCATTTGGGGAAACTGCTGATCATGTTTACTTATAGAAACGGCCTATGGACAAAATGAAGGAAAGGTACTCATAATTTGCAAGAAAGGTATTGGAATCAATTTCCAGTGATTTCAGCCTTAAAACTGCTGTTGGCAACAGTTCATGCTCCAAAGAAATTGGAACACATTTCAAAATACATTCCTACCATTCTTAAGTTCACATGTTTGATTACATTTAATGATGTCACCCATGCAAACTACAATATGAACAAAAGTCTCATTAAAAAATAATACTTTTTGAAAAGAGACACCAAAACCCCAGAGAAAGTATTTGTGTTTACAGTTGCCTTTCTCTAACATAGCTCTCTTTCATTCGTATCTCCTTTTCCCCAGATTTTTTTCCATACTGGTTCTCAACAGGCTGACACATCCTGCCCCCACCCCAAACTGCATGTTACTAGAACACAACTGAAGTCCTTGTTTAAATTCTCGGACTCTAACCTACGTCTTTTCAGTACAAAACTCTTCACAGCACAGTGCCAAAACAATCACCATTCAATATACAAGAAGCCTTCCCCAGAAAATATTTGGAAAATATGACATGTTGCAAGTGCAATTTGATACTTATTTCACAAGGGAAAGGGTATTAGAGCTGTCACACAGCAGTGAGGAATTGCCTATTTTGATTCAACACTAATCTCCAGACCTGAAAAAAAGGCAGCTTTGCCAGAACAGACCTTTGGTTCAGACAGATCTCCTTTTGAAAACACAGAAATATCACTCATCTTTAGTGTTTGCCACGCCACAAAAAAAAAAAAAAAAAAAAAAAAAAATTTACATGCAGGCCTTCCTTGCACATACAAAGGAACATATTCTGGAGACGTCCATACCTTGGAATTTATGGGGCAGCATGCATTTACATTGATCAGGATTTAAATATGGAAACTGAAAAACATTAAGAGCATTAAGTGACTGTAAAAGTAGATGTAGTATAGAACAGTAAGATAAGTACACATCATGTGTACACACATATCCATGAAGCTAAAGGAAGTGCAAGGGATGTGTAGAGACTCTCCCAAGAGATTAAGCATTGTTCATAAACCCCATTATATTTTACTCTTGCCCCAGTAAGTGGGAAGGTGGTGATGGAAACAATTTTAGGGGGATCCTAGGAAACTGATCATTCCTGAGGACCCAGCATACAGTTCAGTTCATCTGTTTGATTACACTCTGCTTTTCTTAAAAACACCATGCTATCTTTGTCAGGGCTGCTATACAGCTGAGCTTGGGTCAGTATTTCCTCAGCCACAACACCTGTGTAACCAATTGCTAAGACTTGGCCTTTGCTTCGGAATTCTACATTTCGTACACTTTAGATCAAACAGTGCATTTCCGAAATTAAAATATTCAAGAAACAGGTGTTGTAACAATTCTTTGCCCTTTCCATTAATGCACAGCTTTATCTTAAGAAATAAGCTACAGGAGTAGTATTTGACCATTTCAAAGAAAATGGAACCAGGTAATCAAGACCATTCCCTCAGCCCAAGAGACAAGACAGCTTCAGCTCCTGCTGCACACTTACCACTGTGCCCTGCTTAAGACTAATCAATTCTATTACAAAAGCATAATCTTCCAGCATTGAAAGTGCCAGAAGAAAAACAATACTGGCAGACAGAACCTATGAAGGCTTTGATGTATAAGTGTCAGCAAAGGAGTTTAAAGTGGTTTACATCTGCACATTAAACACATACCCACTTTCACTAGGACAGCCACTTGGAAACCTCAAAGAACGTACTGTATGGTGTTTATTGCTTCTGAATGAGAAGGACAAGTGCCAATAACTGGCAAAGCTGTTGCCCTTCTCCAGCCATGGAGAGACCTCCACCAGAACAAAGCAAAATCACAAGTCCCACTGGAGACTGCTCCGATTAACAGCTGCTTTTATAGAACAGTAAAGATATGCAAAGTGCTTCAGGACTGTTCCCTTTTCAATCAGAACATCAAGGA